TGCACTTCTTCCATGGACTTCGGGTCTTTTAAGGTTCGTCATTGATCGGGTGTTTTCGGGTGGGGTGTGACACTCTTCTGTGGGAGAAGAGTCATTTGAAGTCGGTTCCCTCGCTTTGCGAAATCTTTCCCTTGCATTATGCAATCTTTGATACTGTTGATCTGTTACGCTTGAAATTCGTTGTCTTTCGCTGGAATCCTCGCTCGATCGCCAGGAATTAGATCTAGATGACGACCGAGATGAATCCACTTCGAAAACCCCACCACTTCCACTGCTACTCGCCACGCTGGAAAAACTGCTCTCACGACTAACAGAATTCGATGCGCCTAATTCGACACTGCTGAAACTGCTCTCCCGGCTCACTGAAGTTCCAAAACTTGATTCTCTCGTTGATTTGTCAATCTTTAAATTAATGGGCATCGTTTCGGTTCGTTTACGCAAACTGTTTTTGCTCATATCATTAAAAGATGCTCAAACTTAATTCAGCTTATAACGCGTAGCATGTCTTCGCCTCAAGTAAGTTGTAAACAAAGAGTAATCGGTGCTACGTGCAAATATCATTTGCGTTTTGTCGTTTTAGCTTCCTTCAAGCCAACTGTCAGAGTTTGTTTACATTACCTCAATGCTAAATGTACTCTTGTATCGATGATTGATGGATTCACTAATAAACTTCTACTTTATTTCCATACCGGTATCTCGAAAGGTAAATATATTGTCATATTTTTCTTTAGAGAACCCATTTGAAACAGCCATGTGTTTCCGGTTTATTCTAAAACTATTTTTAAAAATGGACAGTTTTATGCTTTTTTTGCGCAATTTAAACCATTCAGGATTATTGTAGGTTTTGCAAGAGTAAAAAAAAACCGTAGTCAAACAAACAATCGTGCCAGACGATTGTACACTTTTTTTCTGAATTTAATACAAATTGATACCTTTTTCAAACAAAGTGGTCGACAATTTTAAAGTTTAAAGGACGAGATAACAAAAACTTTTAAAAGTCCTTGGGTGGAATTTTAATTTTTTCATTATTTTTTTTTTACGAATCCCGCTTTGCTTACTTTTCCCACGATGCTTAGTAACCTCTCGCTTTCAAAAATAATTGGTTTTTAATCGCAATTTGTAAAGAAAAAGAACGAAATAATTCTCAAGATTTCTGCTAAGGTTTAAGGACAATGATTAATTTAAAGTACAGAGTTGAGTGTGCTGTGAATTGAGTCAGAGACTTATTTGCAAATTTTTAATTTAACGTCCTGTTCAGTTTCATTAACCGGAACTGTTACAAAAACGAGAAAAAAAGAATTCCTTCGTCGCTACGTGCAGTGTTTACCTATCAGTATTCCTATAGCGCAATTTCAGTTGCTGCTCTTTCAATACAGCGGCAAACCGGGAGTATTGTGGCTCAGCCTATTAATGGAGGAAGTGTATCCATTGGGCCACTCCTGCTCTGAATCAACAGATGTGACGCGATATGACGTCAATCGATTTGATTTGACGTGTTTGTCTGAGGAATGTTTGACGGGAACGAAAATGCATGGTTCACAAACAGTTGCTATTTCAATTCTTGACCTTAGTATTTTCATGCAGCCTGCGCTCGAGCGCAGCCATGCCGTGAGCTTAAATCTGTTGCGTTTAAAGTTAGAGGCCAGGACGCGAAGCAATATTCAAAATGGTGGAAGAGGTAGTCGAATATTTAGTACACTTGAACTTAGCTATATCACTTCTTGAAAGGATACATTAACCTTTTTAGCTTAAAAACAGGTCTCACAGTGCCTCATAACCTTTTATAACTGATGGCAGCGAAAAATGTTACATGGTTTATGGAGCATTCCTTTCGCTTTCTAAGTTGTTCACAGCGAGATTTGATCGCGTGAGCGATAATCGCGAACCTATGGAATTTCGCTCACGATCGATGTAGTTCCGCTTGGTCAATAGAACGTATAGTAAAGTCAAGTAATTAAATCATCCAACTTGAATGGATGACTTTAAAGGAGATTCTTATCAATCTACATCTGAGAGACATCAGAATCCTAGTTCAACATTCATTTAACATTTTCATGTCCACGAGTGACCAAAACAGAATTTCTCCTTACAATGTCAGTACAATATCAAGCAGATAGGTAATGAGAATAAAGAAAAATATCAATAAGAGATTATAAGTTGATCCAATATCAAATTCTCCAAACTAACATCATAAGAATCGCATGGCAGAAAATGAGGAGAATTACTAATTAGATCTTGTGGAGTGAAAGGGTTAAATTCTAGTTCCATGAGACGAAAAAAGCGCCAACAAATTCATAAAATAGACGTTTTATTGATTTAAAATACCTCCACGTACTTTTACATTTTTTAAGAAAAATACAATTTACAAAATAAATACTTCTGCGCGAATGCAATGCGTCTAGAAAATTCGTCATTGAATCAAAAAATTGCTTGCTGGTACCAAAAGGCTTGCGCTGTAATTACCGGTCTTTTAAGTCTATCTACAAAGTCTCTGTGTATTTTCTAAGTTCTCAGAACACTTTTGTTAAAAAATACAGTACACATGTTCAGAGACGTTGGCAGTTTATCAAAGTTTGTAAATCACTTGATCAAATCAAATAGGTTCCAGAGGGAGCTTTCACGTATTGAAGGTGAAAAGGTGTAGTTTTGCATGACAGACACACCATTGCCTCTAAGAAAAATTAACGAAAGGATTATCGCTAAACATTCTATGCTCTCGCCTGTGACAAGCTCTCTTCCGATACGTTGACGAAAAAGGGCGGAAAGTGCGCGTGCTCTCTCACCAGTCTCCGCTGCCTGACAGCGTACACTCCATCATTGGAAACCTTGCGTCAAGTGTTTACCTCTACTTGTGTTTGCTGATTAGATAGGTCCATCGTGGCACCATTCTCCCCCGCTCTCCCACGAACACTCCCTGCCTGGCTCGACGTAACACTAGCTGTCTCAAGGTCCTTAGTTTCCTAGGAAAAAAAAAAGCTATCGTATAAATATAAAACAATGTTTGATTTCCGTTTTTCTATTATCGTCAAATTAACTGGTACCCCTCGAATTCACGCAATCGCGATAGCTTCCCCCTATACCTCTCTCTAGTATTTAACATTTCTTTCCTCTTTCCGCTACCGAGATTGATGAGCTCGCCAATTTAGCTTCGGTTTGATGGTCCGAATATCCTCGTCCAAAGCCAGCGAAGATCACCCAAAACTTCGTCCGGAAGATGATAGTCCGGGCAAATAGAGACTGTTGTTTATAACAAAGACTCACCTTTCGACAATTTGGGAAGAGGTCATAATCGGGGTCAAGTAATTGATTTAAGGCTTCTTGACTCCCTTCGCTTTGTCAACCACCAGTTATTCTTGGCAACAACAAAACTTTTCAGGACTACTTCAACCACGAAGTCATTCTTTTTTCTATTCCATTATTCCGCACGTACCCCATCTCAACAAAAGGAAGCTGCTTCCAATATGATTTATCATCGTTGTTATCTCTCAGTTCAAACGTGCGTAGTATGATTGATCAATTTAGCTGGCCGTAATTCACTGGGAAAAAAGCTAGTTTAGCTTGGTTGCCAATTCCAAACTTCTCACCCCTTTGCGACAGTCGTAGGAGCATAAAACCGCTACATCGATCGCAACTGGCTTTAGCTCGAAGCCTTATGGGATCTCCTTAGTTTTCCTCGTCACAAATGTTTACCTCTTTATTCATATATTTATCTTCATTTTTAACTCGTGAATTGCGCGCATGCGCAAGAGCGAGTTAT